ATCCAAAAAAGGAAAAAGTATGGTTGCAAAAGTGGTCGCAAAGGTAATTGCAACCACTTTTTATATGCCGTAAATACCATCATCATAATTTACGGCACTAGTCTTTATTTGGCATACAAACCTCAGGTAATTAAATGAAAGGTTATGTCAATAAAAATGATTAAAATAGTCATTTATCATTGTATAATTTTAGGTCTGGAAGCCAGAGTCTATGTAATGTATTTAAAGTTCCTAGAACTTTATTTATATCATGAGATCATGTCTTTTAAATTTCCAGCAACAATTCAAGGCATAGGAAATTTAGCTGGTTCACTATTGTTACTAATTCAATTAAGGGTAAGTATATATATATTTCTTTTGTTGCTGTTTGAGCACTTAACTTGCCTAAAGTAATCAATTTTTTTTATAATGTTGTAGTCAATTATATTTCAAAATTGTAATATAATAAAGACTAGTGCCGTAAATTATGAGGATGGTAGTAATTGTATTTACGGCATATAAAAAGTGGTTGCAATTACTTTTGCAACCATACTTTTTCCTTTTTTGGATTACGGCACTAGTCTTTATAATATAGTGAGTGGAATATTTGGTAACTTATCCAATGATGATGATCAAAGTACACCACCATTACAAAAGAAGTGGTTGGTTGAAATAGAAATATCACCAATCACTTATAGAATAAAGGAAACAGAAGAAAAAAAAAAGAAAAGAATAATTGAAAACAAATAGCAAAGTTAAAATTAAAATTAATGCATCTTTACTAGATCTTTACAGATAAATAAAAAAAAATTAAAATTTGCTTCAATATCTATCTACTTGGGCAAGACTGACTGTACCTAATTGAATTTATATTTTCTTATATACTATATCTATTTCAATAATCAATAATGCTGGTAGTGAGTGATAATATTTTAATAAACAAATAAAAATTATATATAGGGCTATAGGTGTATGAAGAACAACAACAATAATAGCTATACTGATGAAGAAATCAATAATATAATAGTTTAAAAGCAGTGAATAATCACCTAACTAAACATGAATTACTGATTGATAATAAAATCTTATCTACTAATGAACAGTAGTAAGTATTATTTTCTTTGAATTTTTTTAGCAGGAGCAAAAATCTTGTTTATGGGAATAATTGCCTATTTGTGAAGAAAGAAAAACAAAAAAAAAAAAACCATAGAATGAATTAATAATATTATTAGATATTTTATATTCAAATAATTATTCTAATTTTCTAATTTGTAATTTTAGCATGAAATGACATCTTAGAGTATCAAAAATTAGTACATCAAAAACATGCATAAAAGACACTTGATTTTTATTAAGCATGATAGCTGAAATTATCTCTCTTAACAAATGAATCCGAAATGCCAAAATAGTTTTCCATAGTTGCTGAAATTAACTTTATTAGTTACTGAAATTATATCCGAAATTATTAACTCAATAGTGTAAACGTAATTCTTGATTTACTTCAATACGAAATTCAAATACAATTTCAGAAGTCAAATTACTTCTTACAATCAATTAATGATTAGGAAATTACGTTTTTACTGGAGAAAGTGAAATCAAATTCGTTATTTTATTGATCTTAAAGTCTCTATATTTATACCATTAGAATAATAATAATATAAATAAATAATAAAAATACATATTGTTATTATTATGATACAAATATAGAAAACATATGTTTCCCGGGACTCTTAGAAGAAACTTGGAAGGAAACATAATTAAGATTAAAATGAATTAATATTCTCCAGCATCAATCGTTCACTGATTAATTTTAAGATAAAAATATATGGCTTCTTATTCGTGAACGAAAACACATGTTTTAAAAGTTATGCTGAGTTACGTATTTCCAAAAATAAAAAAAATATTTATTCGTAACTCTTTAACGTTCGTTATAAATAGCCGAAATTCTGGGTAGTTTTTTTATGTTGATTAATATAAAGAATATTGTAATCCGAAATTGCCTGCCGAAATTGATTTTTTCAAAAACCATTTCGGCTAACATGCTTAATTTTGATCAAGTAAAAAAATTTGACAAGACATAAACAATAATGAATATATCCTGTGGATTATTCCACACCTTCAAAATTAATTATGAGGGGATTCCTGAAGTAATTAATTAAATTCCTTAAATAAATAAATAAATAAACCAAAGTTAGTGAAAGTAATAATAGACATTCAGCCAACAGGGCAGAATTAAATTAGTTTCATATTAATATTTTTATATAGAAGTAGTTATACTATTTAAAGAAAAAATAAAGATAACAGATGAGGCATTAATTGTTAAATCATAATCATGTTGGTGATTATTAAATCTTGATCCCTGAAATCCTTGGTAATACCAATGTTCACTTTGTCTGGTTTTGTTGCAGCATGCCCCATATAAAGATCTTATTTTATAAAATATATTTAAAAATAAACTATTTATAATTTTCATACTTATTCAATGTTAAAAAAGCTATATAGTGTGGATTGTTGTTGTAAGTTAAAATCAATTTTTTTAATTTTTCTTTTAAGACTTTCCAATAATTTAAAATCATCCTCATTTAATCCTGATTGTTGGTCAATGTAAATTTCTAATGTTTTTATTGCTGACAAGGATTCTTTATTTGTAACAGGTGGAAGTTCTTCATTATTTCTTTCTGGCTTTCATTTTCCTCTGGTGGATTAATTATTGTAACTATGTCATTTAGATTTATTTCATCACTTACACGAGAGCCATCAATTTCAATGTATTCAGATGTGGATATATGATTAAGGAGTGCAAGCTCATCAATCAAATTTTGCAAATAATTGAGCTCTCTTACATTCAATGAATTTAAAATTGATGACATGTTTTCAATTTTGTTGGAATTAATATCATAATCAGGTAAAATCCATTATTATTTAATAAACTAAAAATAAAAACATTATCTTTATTTACATTGTTTAAAGCACTTTGATAAAAGTAGCAAGTGTAGTTGGTGGTGCCTTGGTAAAAGGTAACAATTATGGAGCATTTGTGAAAAGCCACGTTTATTTGCTTTAATGAGCAAGTAAGCAAGGTTAGGACTAATGTTGATTAACTAGTGAGTGCTAACAATGATTAGTAATGTAATTTGCTTTAGTGAGTAAGCAAAGGTTTGGACTAATGTTGGTTAACTAGTGGGTGTTTATGAAGTAACATTATTGTAGTCGTAAACGCAAGGCTGTTAAACAAGCTACTTAAGTTGTTTTGTAAGTAGAGTTTGAAATCGGTCAATAAATGTAAACAAGGGCAAACAACTGAAACAGATTGATCATAAGTGAATAAAAGGAACCTTATAGCATTACAAAAGAGCCACCATTACTTATTTACAGTTATTATGTGTGCTCCAAAACGATGTCTCGCAATATCACCATTAACAAGAATCAAAAATTGTAAAAAGTTTATTATTTCAAAATATTGTTACAAGATAAGAAATAA